GAACACCTGATTAGTGAGGGAAATTAAAATAAGCCATTTCTCTCCCATCAAATGAGCCAAAATAAGAAAGCTTAGTAATAACAGGAAAATTGTAGGGGAGGGTAAGGGGGGAGGAAAAAGATACTGCCATGCACAGCGCTGTTGGTGGGAATGGGATTGGCAGAATCTTTTGGCAGTATATTTTAAAATGTTAAGTGCTTATAAACTGTAGCCAGCAATTCCAATTTTCTGCTAGACAAATATTTACATGTATGCACAAAAATGTATGTCCAAGCAGAACAACTAAGCAGCCTAAATGTTCATTAATAGCAGAATGAATGACTAAATAAAATGGAAAGCCTATACCGTGGATTTTTTTATATAAAAATGAGATGATTCTGGTTGTCTTACCATGAGAAAATCTCTAACAAAATGCTCAGTGACTCAAATAATTTGTACTAAAATATGTAAATATGATACCACTTGTGTTTTTAAAAGTCAGGTAAAATGATTTTTTTCAGTGTATGATTATGTAAATGCGTATACTTTGGTTTGTGGGGAAGGATGTTCATCACACTAATACTTCTGGGTAAGTGTCTGGATTGGGGGAAAGGTGAATTGAAAAGAGGAATCTGATACTTAAATTTTGTACAAGAATGTAGCACTGGGATAAGTCTGTTATCCCAGTGAGACTCCTGCAAAGAAAAAGATAGGATTTTAAGGGCATATTAGTTAATTAGTGAGGAGACAGTTTGATGGCTGGCTGGGGTAAGAAGATGGAGAAGCAGAAGTGTTGACTTGAGAAAGGAGTGTGACATGGTTTCAGAATAATTTTCTTCATTAGCTGAACCTCCAGTTCAGTAATTCCAAAGCTCTACTTATTTTTCCTTCCAAACTTGTTCTTATGGTTTATGGGAAAATGAGATGACGAGAAGCCAGCAATTCTGTTGGCTCTACTAAGAGAACAGGATGCAGGGTTGGTGTTTCTAATGAGAAGGCCACCTCATTAGCTCTGTGAACCTAGGTCAGTGGTGCAAATAGTGAGCAAAAAAATGATTTGAGCACGATAGTGAACAAAGAATCGATTTTGAGTACATTGTGAACAAAATGATAGTACTGCTTTTGTTCTCTAATGCTCTTTGAATATACACTCGAATGTAATTGGGCCTATCAATGTGGAACTTCATAATTTTAAATTAATGAAGCCATAGTCTGAACATTGTCTAGGTTCTACCCCTGCCATATTCTTGTTTTCCTGTAGGCTATCAAAAATATCCTTTTTCAATATATTTTGATTTCACCTACCTTCTCTTTAAATTCATTATGTCTTCTCTGACCTTTTCATTGGGGGTGGAGTTGACAAGAATTTGGGTTGGAAAGATATTTCCTTGGTAATTAAAATTAGACTGAGGTAGGAATCTTCAAAATTCCTAGACTGGGGCCATGCAGGGCAAAGAGAGAAAGAAAGAAGAGCTAGGTCTTTGGGAATATATAAGTATAACACAATGTTGGACAGTAAAGACAACCAAATTGACAAGTAGAAAATATCTGACAAGTAGAAACAAGTAAGAATTGTTTCCCCTTTTTGGCTGGATTAAACTTTTTAGAGTTTTTGAAAACCATTTCTAGATACTGCATACCTGTGCTTTGACTGCCACTGGCATTAATTTGATACCTCTTTCCTAAGCTGAGTCTGCCTAGAAAGAAGTGGCATTTTCTACCCTTTGCTGGTTTGGGCTGGGCTCAGTGACCGAGCTAGGCAACTTTACGTCCATCTGGAGTGCTAAATCAGAAGGGGAGGCTCGGGAAGCTGGTTGCAGCCCAATTAAAGAACAGCCTGAGAGGGCAGGCTTTACCTTTGCTGATCCTGTTGATTGTCTCCCCTGCGGATTAAAGAGCAACCTTCCTTAACAAGCACATTGAGTAGCTTGGGTTTCCAAAACTCTCCAGGACCAGTAATTAATCCAGCTGGTAATGAGAGCGCAGTGCTGAATTCTGGAAAGGAGTCATTTAACTCTTTTTATACTGGACAGCTAATTTTCCCTGAGTAAGAGTCCCTTCAGCCATAATACTGTATTTTTTGGACAGTATAAAAATAGTCTAGTGAAAAATTGCCCTTTTCCAGTGAAGTCAGATTGTCACTATGCCCAGTGTGACCACTGGCTTAGATGTGGTGGTAAGTTTTGTACCGTTGATAATTTGCCCTTTGAAGAGCCAAGATTTGTCGCTGTTGGACTTGGACACAAGCAGTTAATTCACTTTAGTTCTATTTTTAATTCAGTGAAGGCTTTTGTTTGTGAAGTAGCCTTTTCTTTGCTCTTTGTTTCTTCTGCCTTCCATATTAATTAGCCTCTACTATCTTCCTGTAACTTTGAAACTTTGCCCAAGATTTCTAGTGCATAAAACATCTTTGAAGTTTTCCTTGTTCTCTCCTTCCTTTAATTATGATTATATTTGAGTTTCATTTTCTGATCATTTCACTACTTAATCTGCTTGTGTACTTGCTCGCAAAGATTCACAGCAGTATAAATCACCTAAACTACTTTTATACTGGGACCAGTTGGTTACAGCTTGATACCTCAATGCAAGAATAAGCCTAAGTGATCATTTTGGTTTGTTCCTCATGCTAGCATTCTTTATCGCTCATCCTCAGCCAGGTTTATAGGTACATATAAACTCATTCTTCTGCCTCTTGCCTTTTTTTACTATGCCCACCTTGAAAAACTAAGGGTTCATGTCTTTGTGTACATTGCAGTATGTTTAACATTAGAAAACCATTTCAGAAAGTTCGCTTTCTTTGAATTTGAAAAGATCGTTAATGATTGAAGAAATAATAATAAAACTGCTATTAACTCAGTGCAACTATGTGTATGCCTGCTGTCTCTGATTGACTCAATTGACTAGAGAAGAAGACATAGATACCACAAACATTTAAAAGGAGAAGGAATTGAATTTGAATTAATCGCTAGGTAGGTTATGAAGGAAAAGGTTATGTGGTAAAGTTGACTTAGGTTTTGAGTGTTGGTGTCTGGGGGAAGGAGATATAGTTCTGCTGGTAAAGGTTTTGCTTGGGGTGGGATGGGGGTGGGGGCTGATATGAGACTGATGTTGTGTCTGTATTTCAAGTAACCAGTACATTCCTTAATATGCACTGGGAAACTGATGTAAGAGAACCGAAGCAAGAAAGGATGAAAGGTATCCACAGTCAAGTGCCAAGGAGGCCCAGAACTGAGGAGTCTAGGAAACTGATAGTGCAAATAGGTGGGGTTCAGAAGCTGAAAAAGCCATCAGAGTCAGAGAACACATGGAGTCCCAGGTGGAATTTGAACAGATTGTCAAGTGTTCTGGGCAGTGAATTCTTTCTAGACAGACTTTGTTAATTTAGAAGTTTAGTTTTCTTTCTTCATGTTCTTCAAATTCCAGTAGTATAAAGAGCTCTCCTTTTGAAGACTCTTACGGGGTTAAAGGAAAGGGGATCCTAACAAAAATCTCTGGTATTGGCTTATTTAGTTTATCTGAGAAAGCCACTTTAACGTGAGTATGTGTGTGTGCTGTATAAAGAAACATATATATTATTTGTCTTTTCCTTCTCTTTATCTAAAGCTGGGAAAAGACACTCCTAAGAAGCCAGGATAGAGGGGAAAATGACTTTGAGATGCACTTTCTTAAAATAACTGAAGAAGTGACCTCATGAGCAACTGATGGCCTGGGTTTGCAAATGGATACATTTCTGTTAGCAGAGCCAAATATATACAGAGTGTATTATATCATATCCTGGAGGCAGGGGACTGTCTGGAAGAGGAGGACTTAGAAAAAGGTGGAATGGCAGGCTCTGCAGAAGAATTAACCATGTAGATACTGTCACTCGGAACTTGCTTTACACATTTAATTTGTATCTTCTGGTAATGTAGTATTTAAATAAAAACACCTGCTATTTATTTAGAATCTTTGATATAAAAGTATTGCTGCACTCATTTTCTTAATATTTGATATTCCCACTCCCTTCTCGTTTTCTGTTTTACAGCTATAAACCCCTGTCCTTGAGTCTAACTCCTTGCTAAAACTCTCCACTCTGGTCTGAGGCTCCCCAGGCCGTGTGGGCGCTACTTATCTCAGGTGTGCTGTGGCCATCAGGTTACAAGGGAAGCATCAGGCCTGAGAGGATTTAGAAGACCTTAACTTGATAAACAGCCTCTCTTGCCAGAAATCTTTGTCAGCAATTAAGAATATTAACAAAGTAGGGCCCCCCTCCCTCTGTATTTATGCAGCATGGTTACTGTGGCAGTAGATAAAGAATGGCAGTTGGCTAGATGGTTTTAAACCTGTTCACTCTGGATTTGATTTTTTAAAATAAATCTGAAGTCCATAATGGGTTTAAGACCACACACGTCACTATATCTATATGCTGGACTCAGACATTGGCCTGGCTTACTTGTAACTGTAAGAGTTGTGAACCTATTTTTTCTTTTTATTAAGCTAAAAGCCTATTTAATTTCACATATTTTATAACCAGCCACTTTGCTGCATTCTCTTATTAATAGTAGGTTTTCATTTGCTTCTTTGGGGTTTTCCAGATACACAGTCATCTCATCTACAAATAATGATGACTGCACCTCACCCCCTTATTTCTCTCTTGTCTCACTGCCTGGTCACTACCTCCAGAACAGTGTTGAAAAACATTGGTTTTATTTGGCACTTTAATGCTGTGGAACTGCAAAAGGGAACTAATCTAGACTATCAGTAGTGTCTTGGAAAGCAGAAATCAGACTTGGGGACAGAGGTTCTTGATCTTGCAGGAACATGTTAATGAAATGAAGCTTCGGGTCTACTTTACTAACATAATTCTCAATCCCCCATGGAGCTGTAGTGACCTAGGGAAATTATGGGTTCTCACCATCACATTTTGAACTCTCAAGAGCCCTCCAAGAAGGTTCTCTGTTTCATAGTCTTCAAATTTGGTGATTCATCCCAAAATATAGATGCATCCCATGGCTGCTGATGACCACTCTCTTCTCTTCCAGGCTCAGCTTCGGGCATTTATTCCAGAGATGCTCAAGTACTCCACAGGTCGAGGAAAACCAGGCTGGGGCAAAGAGAGCTGTAAGCCCATCTGGTGGCCTGAAGATATCCCCTGGGCCAATGTCCGGAGTGATGTCCGCACAGAGGAGCAAAAGCAGAGGGTGAGGATTTCTCTGGCCTCTCTTTGCTTCACCTCAGTTTTTGTTGTTTCCAGTTCTTTTGCTAAAACATTGTAAATCATTTGTGTAACAGTTAAGCCTGTCTCCAAAAGAGCTTACGTGTTCCTTGCTCCATTGCATTCCCCATTTATCCTTCCATCACGGTGAAGAAAGGGATGGGGTGGGGGCGTAAATTTACACCTTTCTTTGTGTTGTTGCCTTTTAAAATGGTTTTAATTTTTATTGAGGCTATTGGAAAACCAAAGAAACTTGAAGTAAAAGCATTAACCACTTTGTGAAGACTTTACAAATGTCTTTTTTTGTAGTTAGTAAGTGTCACTGTTGATAAATACAGAGTTGCAACAATATAAAGTCAACCAGGTAGGTCTGCTGACAACAAAACTTATTTTTAAAAAAGAAGAAAAACTAGACATCATTCCTAAAAAACACTTCTTCTGCTTGTTTTTCATTTAGCTTGGAAGTTTACTAACAATCTTGACAGGAAACTCTTGACAAAAGAAATTTAGAAATTTAGACAAGTTTAGAAATTGTCCTTGGGTTAGAATAAGGTTTAAAACCTGAAAGTTAGAGCCTCCTCCCTGGTGACACAGGGGGTTAAGTCTCAGCACTATGAAGCTCTCCACAGCCACTGCAGCACATGTTCAATCCCTGGCCAGGGAACTGACCTCCATGGCACAGACCTCTCCTGTCTCACCCGCTGCTCCCCTCACCAGTGTATTTCAGTACATCTGCCTGTTTTGCTCCCCACTCTGTCTCTGGTAAAGAGAGTGTTCCCTACTCCCACACCTCTGGCCTACACCCCAGCGCCTATATGCATAAATAAATAAAAGAAATCTCTAAAAATAAATAAATAAAAGTGTACAAGTTAAATGAGATTTTGGTCAGTAAGGAAACAAATGGGAAACAGTCTTTGGTATTTGGTACTAAGTTTCTTTGTGTCAGAATCGGATTATAGAAAATAACCATAAAGGATTTTTCTGTGTGAGGTTTGATTTGGTAAATAAGCAACTATTTATTCCATAGTGGATTGAATAACCAACATTATGCAATTCTTTGTGGCATAATGTGCCTTTCTGATCTTTTGGTGACAGGTTTCATGGACTCAGGCACTACGGACCATAGTTAAAAACTGTTATAAACAGCACGGGAGGGAGGACCTTTTATATGCCTTTGAAGACCAGCAAACACAAACACAAGCCACAACCACACACAGTATAGCCCATCTTGTGCCATCACAGACTGTAGTCCAGACCTTTAGTAACCCTGATGGCACTGTCTCGCTCATCCAGGTGAGTAAACCTTGTGTTGTGGTTTCTGAGGTGGGTCAGTGGGCGCCTCACCACAGATTATAGAACGTTTCCTTTGTGTAAATGCTTCTGTGATCTTTACAGCTCCCCAAGACCTTCCTACCTGAAACTGAGTTTTGAAACCTGGAATATTTTTTATTGTTATTTACATGCCTGTGAATAGTTTTCCCGGATATTTCTAAAAACAAAGTACTGTAAAATGTCTTTTTTTTTTTTTTAATCATTTCATTCTGTCAATGACCAGGAAATATTCCTTCTGAATTACCTCTTCTGAGGTAAAACCCATTATGTTAGTAGATAGAGGACCTCTAAAATTTAGACTGGGATGAGAGTAGAAAGCTGATTGATTGACATTGACTACCCAGGGAAGCTGATGGCTTAGTTGACATTAAATGTTGAGATTCATGTTAGTGTCTTAAATATAATTTAAGTAACTCATTTCATATTACAAGGCATATTAATTGTTACCTGTGCTGAGTTTTGCCACTAATTGTATCTTAACTTCTGGGTAAAGAAGAATCCAGGTATTGACACATTACTTTCCACATTTTTCTTTAGGTTGGTACAGGGGCAACAGTAGCCACATTGGCTGATGCTTCAGAGTTGCCAACCACAGTCACTGTTGCCCAAGTCAATTATTCTGCTGTGGCTGATGGAGAGGTAAGAGCAAAGATTCTGTGTACTTCTACTGAAAAACTTGAATATATAGATGAGGACATGAAATAGGAAGAGACTCTATGTAGCCTACACAGTTGTAGCATTCCTTTATTTAAACCTTTCAAAATATCAAACTTTAGTTTTGCAAAGTGTCTTAGGCTGTGTACATTATTTATAACAACTGAAATTCATGGATCATTGTGATCTAGAGGTCAGGAATTTAGTTTTACATTAGCAGGGTAGCATTTTATATAATACACAAATAAAAGGAGATTAGTCTTTTATTTTTATGCTGTGAACTTAGATAATTTTCATCTTTGGAAAAAAATTGTATGATTAAAGCTGGAGCTAACTAAGGCATCTATGAAGGAATGAATATATTTGTAAACCAGTTTGACCCAGTTTGTCGTATTTTAAACATGCCTTTGAAAAGACTTCACAAGAAAAATCAAGATAATCGTGGACTGTGAAACTGAAAGTAGCTAATTTTCATTGGGTCCTAGTGAAGTACATACTCATTTCCACGATGTGTAGCTTCTATCACAGTATTCATTTTATAGAAGAGAAAAGTGAAATGTATAGAGAGGTTAGGTGACTTATCAAAGTCAGAATGAGTTTTGAAGCAAGGTAATGCAGTTAGGGAAAGGTTGTTTAGGCTTTGAGTTCCTAGCTTCAGTGAAGCTTTAGGAAAGCATTCATTACATCACTGTGGAATTTTCCCTAAAGGTACCAGTGTGGTGTACTCCTGAAATTTGACAAATAGCCAGCAAGTGTTAAAAAGCAGAATCAGAAGTAAAACTTAAAGTGTGACCTCACGTATGTTTAAAATCTTGGAGCATTTCTGCTTAGAACACCACCACGTCACTTTCCTTTGTGCATCTCAGGAAGGGAGAGAACTGATAAAGGTCTCACAGCTAGGGAGAGGAAGGGAAACACTGCTGGGGTCCTCACTGCAGAATCCCTGCTGTGCTACTAGTGAATGTGGAGTCAGCCCACACCCTTAGAAGCACCTGCCTGTGAAGGAAAGAAGTGGGCCTAATCGGCTGTTGTCCCAGCTGCAAGAGGTGTTACAAAATGATTTCTCTCTTCAGGAAAAATTTTTCCACCTAGGGAGTTGGGGACGTTTGGGGTAAGAGCTGACATTTGGTTTTTCAGTGTAGAAAGGTAAAGATCAACAGAACATACACTTTTTAAAAGTTGTTTGTTTTTTTTTTAAGACTTATTTGCACATACAGAACTGGGGTACAGCCAGAGGCTCAGGAGTGGCGAGAGGCTTCACCAGAGACAGAGTGGGGAACAGAACAGGCAGATCAATGAAGTACACTGCTGAGGGGAGCAGCAGGCGGGTCAGGAGAGGTCTGCCGCGCTATGGGGTCACCTCCGGGGCAGCCGGGAATCGAACTCATGCGGAAGTGGCTTCAGCTTCTTAGTGCTGTGCTCTAACCCGCTGCGCCACCAGGGAGGGCCAACTTTTTAAAAGTTTTTAAGCATCACAGAAAGGGTATGGATTAACTGAGAGAAATATTTATCAACCTCCGAAAACACTAAAACGGAAGGACATTCCTTGAAGAGTGAGAGGTAGAGAAAACATTGGTGTGCACACTTAATAGAGTTGATACTCGTTGCCTGACTCAGGGAAACCACATTGCCTCTGGAAGGTTTTCTGGTGCTATTTAAAAATAAAATCTTTTCCTAGATACTTCTTTGGCTGATTTTACTAAACAATGTCTCATATATAAAAATAATTAGTGTATTCTAAAGTTCATATGTAGGAAGGTAAAGGAAAAGTCTTATTCTGTTGCTTTGTACAAACATCATTTTAAAGTCCTCTGTTGAAGGAGAGAGTGAAATGTGTATGTAAAAGACCTACTGGTAAATACCCAAATTCAGCCAGGTATTAAAAAAAAATCTAGCTCTTTCCACACTTTCTGTTTTGGTGGGGGGGGGGGCAGGGAAGAGGTGGTGTGCAGGTGAGAAGGGAAAAATGCATATTTCATGCAGTGGGGGAAAGGTTTTTGAGTTTCCCCTAGGTAGTTTGAATCATTTCTTCTAAATTCATTGGATTCACTTTTCTGTGAGTGCACAGAATTTCTGATTTGTTTGAGTAGTTGGCCCCTAAAACAATGTTGGCCCTTTGGAGGTGAAGAGGGAGAGATGTTAAGAGGGAAATGGATGGGGGTTGAGGGAAGTGAGAAAGAGAGAGAGGAAGGAAACACTTTCGATGGAACAGAAATCAAAAGAAGCAGCATGGGTTATATGAGAAGGTGACAACACATTTTAGATTTTATAGCATGGACCCTGTTGGCTTTCTGATTTCTTAGGTGTTGATATGGTTGTTAGCATCTTGGTTTTGAGCCCAAAGAACTATAATTAGTCAAAATATCTCACCAACTTGGGGTAGATAAGACCACGTCAGCCAAAGAAGACAGCCTATAGGAGTGTCACGTCAGTGACTCAGTGGGAGCATCCTGCTGTCCTGCGCTTAAGCATCTTTTTTCCCAAGGAAGAGAAAGTGACCTTACAAAGTAAACACCATCTATGCTTCTAGATGTTGTAAGATAATTTTGTGGACCCTTACTGTTGAGAGCTCTTAATTATCAAACTACTCTGCCTTCAACATAGAGCTACTTGCATTTATAAATAGGGTGATCTATTAGGCTATAGATCTATAGGGCTATCTCTTCTATTAATATATGGTCTCTCAAGTCTGTTTGAATACTCCTTGTATGCTGGGAATACTTAATAAAATCTAAGTAGTTACAAAAGAAACAAAAATCCCTAACCTTCAGTAGCCTAAAATTAATTAGGGATATAAAAAAAGTTCCATAGACATTTAGAAATGAGCAAGGAAAGAATTTTTAAAATAATTTTAAGTAAACTTATGTTTATTGATTTCAAAATATTTGTGCAATTTAAATTTTGACAGCATATTTACAAATAAAAGTAGATTTGAGGATTCTGATGTGTGACATGACAACCTTTGGTATTGGTGATATTGATTGCCTTATGCGTCAGAAGGTTGAAATTTGAAATAGAATGATAATGATGGTATATGATTTATTAGAAGAAGAAAAAAACCAAAGTACAAAGATATCAGAGATATATTTTAAACTGAACTTATCGGTACACATACTGTTTTGAGGTAGCACCATTCTTTGTAGGTGGGTTTTTATGAAATATGGGTAAACTAAAGAACAGTGTAGAAAAATAGGAGTAAAAGGCGATATCCTTCATCCTTCCTGTTGTAAACACCTTCTGAGTACCAGGTGCTGTTGTCACAGGAAGACAAAGATTGCTCTTGGCCTTTAAGGAGCATGCAGATAAGTGGTCTTGTAGGGAGGTAAGAGTCTCATGGAAGCAGGCCCAAGCTGCTACGAACACACAGGAGGTTCCTTAGTCCTGGACTAACTGTTGGGCAATGGAGTTATCTTGCCTCCTTCAGTCTTATCTGAACTCAGGCTAGAAGGGTGAGCAAGAAGCACAGGCTGGAGGCATGGGTGTAGCGCTTATAAGGCACGGTAAGTGTGCAGTTGTGAAAGCTTGGAACAGCCACAGGTGGGTCATCGCAGCTGGAGGGCTAAGAGGAGCCACAGTTGGGAGAGCCCCATCATCAGAAAAGCCTGAGAGCTAATGGTACATTCTCCGATGGTCTTTCCCTCCTAGAGCTTGTGTGGCCCTTCCTTTGGGATATGTTGACACGCAGACAGACATCAGTAACCACACAGTGGCTCCGCAGAGGGGCAGGGGGGGCAGCACCCCGAGCAAACACACGGAGGCGCTCAAGAATAGTGAATTCCAAAGAAATATTAACACCGAAGCAGATTGATTTATTTATCCCCCATCATATTTCTGAACAGCAATCTTTTCCTCTGCTTCTTCCTATTTCTTTTCCATTCTTTACGGCATTAATCTTCCATGCCGTGTAACGCAACTTCCCGAAACAGAGAAGCAGCTCCAACAAGCGGAAGGTTTCAAAGGCAGAAGGCGCCAGGGCAGGCCAGCTTCAGCTGATATTTTGAGTGGAATCATGACCATCTAAGAGTTGGTATCACTTGCTGTCTAAAAGCAGCATAAGTTTGTAGTGATGCTCATTGGAATAATGAGATCAAACACATAACTACCTTAGGAAGCAAGAGTTTGTGGATGGACAGCATTGCATCTCTAAGGGGAAGAAAATGAGATAGCTCTGCCTGCTAGTGATGGACCGGGAGGCTTGCTGGCCACTGAAGAGAGAACTCTGGGGCAAATACAGAGGTCGCTCAGAGGAAGGTCGCGTTTTCTGGGAGCTTTCCACAGATATTCTGAAAAACGCTGTCATAATCTCAGTATGGTAATAGAAACAAAGTAGGAGGCATTTAAATACCTGAGTTCATGGCACTTTCTTGGAACATGGATCACACAGGTCCTGTTTACTACTCACTGGGCCTGAACAGTGTGAAGCTCGGACTCTTAAGAACTCCAGTATGTATAATTGAGCTCTAAGAGGTTATAGAAATATTATGCCTGAGCTGGTTTATTGCCTACCAGATTACTGAACTGAAATGGGTTTTAATGCCCCTGCAGCTTTTTGTTTATAGGAAGACCAGTTAACCGCAATTTATTTATTGCGTGAAAAGGATTGAAGATTCTGAATAAAGAAAACTGTTGTACTAAAATCAGTGGTTCTCAACCAGGAATAACCCCCTGGAGAGTATAGTTAGAGATATGTTTCATTGTTGTGACTGGGGAAGGTGCTGTTAGCATCTGGCTACCATGGAGCCAAGGGTGCAGCTGAATGTCCCGCAGTGCCCAGAACAGCCCCTTCGGTAGAGCTGTTGACCCAGAATGTTATCAACACCCAAGTTGAGAAATCTTGTGCTGGACTCACTAGCAACGCTGAATTCTCATATAGTCTAGTACTAGGTAGTATGCTTTGTTTTATTCATAATTCTTTCCAGCTAAAAGAAAGCATTTTTTTTTCTAATTAAAAAAAAAATCTTTGCTGAATTTGGCAGCTTTCATCAGAAATAAAAATGTAAAGTGACTTCTTGTCTACCAGTATCAGTTCTAGGAATTTACCCTATAAATAACTAACATACAGTATACAACGTAGTTTATAAAGATATTCATTGCAGTATTGTTTGTAATAGCAAAAGACTGGAAACTATCTAAATGCCCTTAGAAAGATAGGTTACTTAATAAATCATAGTGTGTCTGTAATATAATGCTGTGCAGCCATTATTATGAATCATGAATGAATGAAGCGGTCTAATTCATTCCAAAATAGCTGTTTCAGAACTGCATTATTTGTGGAAGGAAAAAAAACAAAGTAGCAAAAGATATATAGAATATGCAGCCATTTCCATTTTTAAAAAGGAGGGGGGAGGTTGGGGGGACACAGGAGTGTGCTGTAAGCATGCTTGCACATGGAGTGAATGACTTTGCAAAGATAAATAAGTAAAAATATTTGGCTTTTGGAGTACTGCTTTATATTCTCTTTGTACTGTTTGAAATTTTTTAGAATTACATTTATGGTTTACTCGAAAAATTGTTTAATTTTTAAATAGGTAGTGCATTGATATGGTCCAGATATTTCAAAAAACGTGGAGAAGTACAGTGTGGAGAATCTTGCTTTCTGTTTGTCTCCTATCCAGCCTGCACACACATACCCTCTGCACACTTACAATCAGTGATTTCTTTTGTGTGTCCTTCCAGAATTTCTTTATGCAAATAGAAGCAATTTTAACTGTATACTCTAAAAACTCCTTTTTTAGCAGAATAGATAGTATACTCCAAACTATATCTACATTTTGTAGGTCATGCTGATTTAAAGTATAAATATATATGTGTGTGTGTCTGTATATACACACACGTATATATTTCACTGAGCACATAGCAGTTTGTTAGAAATGACTTAAAAATCATAATCCTATGTGACTTTGATTCTTAACCATCACCTCTCTTCTTCCTCAGGTGGAACAAAATTGGGCCACGTTACAGGGAGGTGAAATGACCATCCAGACAACGCAAGCGTCAGAAGCTACCCAGGCAGTGGCGTCGCTGGCAGAGGCTGCAGTGGCAGCGTCTCAGGAGATGCAACAAGGAGCTACAGTCACCATGGCTCTCAACAGGTGGGGGCGGGGTGGAGAACACGGGGATGGCGAGTCCGTCCCAACCTGGGGGTTGTAGGAGGGATGCTGTGACTCAGATGGTCACGAGTGGTGCTTGAGCCTCGCCTACACCGGCCGTAATCCAGCCTTTTGACGGTAGCTCAAGCCTGCCGTCAGGACCGTGGGTTCCTTTTGCTATATCCTATTCTGTACCTGTTTAACAGACTGAAAGCAAAAAGGTTGGAGTACTTTTGTGTTTTTAAAGGGACCACAGGACTACAACAAATCAAGAGACGTCAGAATTAGTTTGCTTTTAACCTCCATAAAAGAAACTGCTTTTTGTTGGGATTATTACTCCATGTTGAAGCAGGAGAGAGCTGATTTTCATGGAATTTGTTTCCCATGTTTATCATTGACTTTGAAATAAAGCAGGTTTTCAGTAAATGGGAAAAATAATGGAGTTTTCCCTCTGGGCATGTGTAGGAAAGATGCTGCAGAACGGTATTCTCGAGTAAGGTAGTTTTTAAAACTAAATTACAACATTACCTGCTTGGTCCCATCTACTGGTTGTTGACAGAAAAGATCATCTTCATATCATTTTTCTTCCTTCCTGACACAATTTTATTTTCAACGGACCCAGACATTTTACTGACTGGTTAGGAGTGTGGCCCTTAAAGCCATAATTTTGGGCTTGAACCCCAGTTCCTTGTTGTTTGACCTTGGGTCAGCTTTCCTCTTCTGTAAAATGAGGAAATAAAAGGGGTGTGGTGGGGATGGATTAAGTCCATACATGTGCGATACTTTGGTCAGTGCCTGGTTCATAGTAAGACGACTGTCCACATTATGTCCTGCACCTGTTCGAATGTCATTGAGTGAGTATATGGCACTGCTAGGTAGGGTTGTATTAAAGATTGGGCTGTCTTCAAAGAAATAATACTATTATTGGGGGGCATCAATTAAAACATACAGTGAACAGTGTTACTTGGAGTATATTTCACTGTTGAATCATGTAGAACAAACTATGGAGATTGTAGAAATTCACAGGTGGGATCACCTCCTCCAAAATCTGAAAAATACCAGTGAGAGTTTAGATTAGTTGTACTAAATACTAGAAGGCCGTGGTAGGCTAATGTACAGATATTTTCATGAGGCTGTTTAGTCTAGTAGCTGAAAAAAGAGTTCCAAGGTCATAGAGATGCAGGTTTAAATTGTAGATTTGCTACTTTGATCTTGAGAAACTTGACATCCAAGCTTTGGTCTCCTCAGCCTTATAATGAGGATAAATTTTCACTAAACAGAATCAAAATTATTTCAATGAGATGATATATATATATATATATAACTCATATCAGACTGTCTAGCTTGTAATTAGTGCTTCAGGAATTACAGTTATTATCATTTTGATTATGTTTTAAGACTGGTCTATTCAGAACTGATTATAGTGAGAAGAGATTAGAAATAGGCCAGTTAGTGACAAGACAGTCTTTAGGTATATCTTGTTAAAGACTTGGAAACCTTGATTTCATTGAGACTCCAGCCAGTAGCTTGGATATTCAGTGAAGTGTGAGTGTCCTGGGAACCCTATACATAGTGGAAAACATGAGGTACATTCTGACTCCCTTCAGTGTAAGGACCAGGGCTTATTTCTAAAGGAGAGGAGGTAATGGTTTCCCCTGAGGACTTGTTAACAAACTCAGATGCAGCTGAGGTGGCCACAGTGTTTACTCCAAAGGAAGGTGAATACGATTCACTGTGGCATGTAGGAGGAGTAAAGAGATGTTGAAATCTGTTTGCAACCAGATAGTTCAATGCCCCGATGAATGTTGGGGGATGAAGTGTGTTGCCGCCTCTGATGGGGCTGTAGAAACCAAGTCTGGTGGCAAAAAGTAGACTACAGCACTAGACTACAGCAGGATATTGGGGAACATCAGGGCTGTCCTGATCCCAAAAGCAGTAACTCACTCATGTTAGCAGGGTGGGACTTAGGACGCAGGCCCATAGTGTTTGCTGCTCTGTGGGATGAGACACACACTCAGCTTCTCCAAAATTTGTTGTTGGAAGTCATCTTGGTGAAAAATACACTGAGAAATCCTTTTCTGTGGTAACAAAGCGATTTCATAGGCCAGCCCCCTCCAGCCTAAACGGTTTCAGGTGCGTGGAACCAGCATGGACCTCTAATGACCTGCTGCACCTCCCCCATTGTAAACAGCAGAAGGGGGCGAGAACAGAGGCAACAGAGGCGGCTGCATGGAATGGCCAGTGGGGAATAAGAAGGCAGGGACCGCAGGCAGGGAGGTAAGGGGTCAGGGCCATGCAGGACAGAGCTATTCTTCAACCATGCTGTTAACAGGTCAGAATGTGGACAGGGCCCTCAGCCTTTAGGCCCCACAGCCTTTAGCCCACATGGATTTCTAATAGCCCAGCCTAAAGGGAATGGAGAAATTGTCATTTCAAAAGCCTGGAAACTTAAATTTTCAAAAAAAAAAAATAAGTAAATTAGCACTTTTAGGAAGGAGATAAGGAATCCAAGTAAACAAATGAAGGGCAGGGAATCATCATAGCTCAAAAAAGCTAAATTCAGCCTGAACAACGAACCAGAGAGGAAAAGAAAGGAAATAAAACAATTTACTTATTGTGATATAATGATTACTTTGAAATTTTGGTTCTTTGGTTAAGCGGTGCAGACTTAAATCCCTCTTCAACAGTCCCTCTTCAGATTTTTTTATTTTTTTTAATTACTGAGTTTTTTTTTTTTTTAAGATTTATTTATTCATACAGAACTAGGGTACAGGCCAGAGGTGGTGAGAGGATTCACCAGAGACAGAGTGGGAAGCAGAACAGGCAGCCTGATGAAATACACTGCTGAGGGGAGCAGTGAGCGAGCGAGATAGGAGAGGTCTGCGCGCCATGTGGGTCAGCTCCCTGGCGGGGATCAAACTTGCACTGAACTGGCTGCAGCTCGCTTGCAGTGCTGCACTTTAATCCGCTGTGCCACCAGGGAGGGCCCCACAGTCAGTTTTTGAAAATGTCCCACACAGTCCTTACATACCAAAGTGATGTGATGAATAATTGTAGACTGAATCCACATTGGTTTAGTAGAAATGTGTGCTGTCTTATCTACACTGAGACAGATTTTAATGTATGTAAGGTATTAATTTTAAAGAAAAATCTAATTTGGAGGCCTCCCTGGTGGCCTAGGGGTTAAATCTTCTCAGCACCACTTTCTGAATTTGATCCCCAGCCAGGGAGCTGACCCACACGGTAGACCTCTCCTGTCTTGCTCAGCAGTGTATTGCAGTAAAGCCACCTGTTCTGCTCCCCACTCTGTCTCTGGGGAATCCTCACCCCTCACACCATCGGCCAATAGCCCAATTCTAGACAAAAAGAAATCTAATTTTTAATGAAAATGCTATTGACTTTAAAGTAGAGGTGTTATAAAGTACCAGCTTTAAAAAAGGACTAGTACTTATTCAGTAAAATGGGAAGGACCCCCTAGAGCAGAGCTTCTTTGTAGATGAGGAAAGGACTGTGCAACTGCATCTTTCTTTGTAAAGGAAAACTTAACAGATAGAAAGTTGATGAAAACTTCTCATTTGTAACTGTGGTGTGGAAATGACTTGTCAAAAAATTGTCAAGTGGTAGCTTAGTGACACTTTAATCCCCTTTCGCATTTAGAGGTATCCTTTTTCTAGTGGTATATAGCTTGATCATTTTCCATGAAGTCCAGCATGATGTTTTTAGGCTAGGGTTAGAAAAATCGGCTTGCTGACCACCAGCGTCAACATTGTGTTTAGGTCTAGGTTAGAGAGCTCACCATTGCTGCTGTGGTCCTGACGCCTGCCAGAGATGAATATGACCTTAGCACCTGTCAGCCTATGGGATACTCAGCCAAGGTTTTAAAGTGATTTCAAATACTTGGAGCTTCAGATATAAAATGGTGTGAATACTGCAGCAGGTAGACAACATTTCAGTGCTTGGGTGCTGCCCTCCCCTCATCATTCAGGAGACCCCACACAACCACTTGTGTTCAGGGAGTCCAGAGTGGCAGGATTCACTTTTGATGATCACAGACCTGAGATTATTTTGATTAAAAGTTATAGGAAAAGAGTTGTCACTAGAGTAGCTGAACCTTTTCCAAAGATTATACATACATAGCGCTCCCTAGTGGCGCTATGGGTTAAAGCATAGCACTATGAAGCTCTCCGCAGCCACTGAAGCACAAGTTCAATCCCCAGCCAGGGAGGTGACCCACATGGCCCAGCAGACCTCTCCTGTCTTGCCTGCTGCTCCCCTCAACCGTGTATCTAAGTAGATCTGCCTGTTCTGATCCCCACTCTGTCTCTGGTGAATCCTCTCGCCCCCCCCCCCATATACCTCTGGCCTGTACCCCAGTTCTTGTATGCATAAATAAATAAATCTTTTAAAAAAAAAGAAAGATTGTACATTTCAACTTGGTTACAGAAGTGTCAGTGCAGAATTTACAATATTTTTTTTATTATTATTCAGTGATAACTGGTACTGTAAAATCAGCTGGTAGTAGTATTTGTTGACCCAAGTTTCAACATTTAAAATGAAGGCTCTAGGCACAACCATATTATACTATTTCTAACATACTTATGAAGCACTTTAAAACTAAAATATGCCACATAAAATATAAAGAATGCCCTTAGTAGTAATTCCAGATCCAAGGTCCCCTCTGGCTCTGAATTCATGTTACAGATACTGTGAAATGACTAGCTATATAGGTATCAAGTTACCGGGAAGTATTTTAGCACAGAAAAAGATTTTATCTTTTTCATTGGCTGCATATAAATTCTATTATTCTGTTCAGCCTTTTTGCTCAACCTCAGTTATATCCCAAAAGTTTTTATGATGGGTGCATGGTAGAATTCTCGCCTGCCAAAGTTTTTTATGAAGAAAGTAAGTAAATTTAAAATATGTACTCATGACCTTGAACCTAGGTCAAAGGGAACCTAGAAATTAAAAATTGTCACAGCTAAACAACTAGAAAAAATGGAGAAATGAGCAATTTTGCATTTCATTATTTTGCATGAATATCGAAGTATAGTCACATGGAGAAATACAACATTAAGTAGAAAAAGCATACTTCTAAACTGCGTATATAATCTATTTATCTGTTTTTAAAGTTGTATTTAAGAAATAACTTACCTGTAAATTTTCTTTTACACCTAATGAATTGCTTATAAGTTTTCTAACGATTTCATTGTCATAAATAACTTTTAAACACAGGGACATAAAAATTAAAAAGCAAGGCAAATTAAGATGGGGAGAATTTTATATTTAATGAGGCTTTTCTCACTAACATTGGGTTTCTTTCACTGCTTCCTAGAATCCTTATCAGGAAGATTTCCCCAGGGAAAGTTACTCATCTGCTGTCTTTCTTAGTGAATGTGATAATACTGAGTTTGGTATATGTTGCCTTTGGGGGGGGGTGTCAATTATAGTTTTTGAAACTGAAAAACAAAATATACAACTTGGAACGGCTTTGAGGCAAATTGTGCAATAAGGAGATTAAGTAACTAAAACAAAATTTAAAAAGCAAGTAGTAATAAAAAAAATTTTGACACAGGCCCAGCAGTACAAAAAATAGTACACGAGCAGCATATGAATGATACACCCCTTTTGCAATAATGCAGCTTTAAAGACCATACTGTTGACTAGCCACAGTCCACACAATTTCAACAATTTTCTGACATCTCTTGAAGAAAACTAATTTAATAAAAGCCAACATTGAACTGTTCCCTCCTTTGACCACTCCATCTAAGCTTGCTTTGCCCACAGTCATGTTGCCCCTAACCAGACTGTAGCCCCTCACCCGTCCCCACCTATGACTTGTGATTGCAAGAAGGCTGCCATGGTTATGACAGAGCCTGCAGCTTAACAACGATATTCTGTCAGCTGCTTAGCCACTACTAGTAGACCCAGCCCTTGGTCCATCTGCTAAACTAAATGATACCTCTACTCCATGCCACTGTGGATATTCCCTCACTATCTGTGTGAAGTGGTAACATTTATTTGCCCAGGAGAGGTGAGTTTATCTGTTGTTTTTTGTGTTGTTTTTTCCCCACATTTTAATATCTGACATTTAGATGGTAATTATCTTTTTCATTGGCACAGAAAATAATCTAAACATTGTAGATAAGAAACCTTAGTGGTTTGTAACACCATATGAAATCAGCAAAATGGGTGTATAAACTGCTAGGTGTGGTGTACATTATTAATAGCTGTTGTATTTTTGTATTCTGTGGACAGTTTGCAACGAATGGATAATTTAAATTTTTAAGTCTTAGTTCACTGCTGCCCACATGTACACGAGGCAAAGGAAAAGCTAGACCCTGCAGGAGATTAGTCGCCCATTACTTTGTATTTCATGATCATAGAAACCAAATTGTTGTTATTTAATATTAATTGAGTAGCTAGTCCAGGTTGCTGACTCCTATTATCATCCATCCTAGGCTATAAAACTTCTTTTCAGATGGCTTGCCTTATGTTACCGTAAGCAGAAAAAAAACCTGGTGATTGACAACCAAAATGGCTATTGCATCATCATATGGCTCAGAGCTTCCACTCTGGCTTACTAGTGCTCAGTTGATATTGATAAAGAAGAAATGGAAATGAGTGCACTTTGTCCTCAAACACCCACTTCCTAGACTTAAAGAAAACCCCACGTTAGCTTTATATATACACACACACACGTGTATATATATATATATATATATACACGTGTGTGTGTGTGTGTGTGTGTGTATATATATATATATGTAAGACTTGGATTTCTCTACCTATTTTTATCATCATTTTAAAAAGAAAATCTGACTTTTTACTCACTAACACTGGAGTTTTGTATTTCGTGGTAGCTCACAGCCCTGGAGTGGTAAAAAGATCCAGGGAGGGATGAGAGGATGGTGTGTCTTGCTGCTGTATTCTTTATTCATCTGACACATCCCCTCTCGCCTGTTCCTGTACCCACAGTGAAGCTGCCGCCCATGCTGTCGCCACCCTGGCCGAGGCCACCTTGCAGGGCGGGGGACAAATCGTCCTGTCTGGGGAAACCGCAGCAGCCGTCGGAGCACTTACTGGAGTCCAGGATGCTAATGGTAAGAGAGCATAAATATTTTATTGAATTTATTCCCTGTTTCCACTTAAACCTTCATGACATGACTGTCAGCATACCCTTCAGAACGAGGCTGGGCTTTGATTTTCTTTATTGTGGGCAGTTGACGCCTAGGAAGATTCTAGAAGCCTCTGCTTCCTTTCACTAGTAGACTTGGGATTTCCCAAAAGGAGAATACCATGACAATGGCTCCCTAGTGAATGATTTATTTGAAAAGTGACCGTTTTGCTGTGACAGGACTTGCAGAGAGGCAGTTTGAGATACGCTGTGGCGCACATTTGGCCTTCATTTCTCCTGTGGGGCGGTGTAAATCAGTGGCCTTCACTAGCAGAGACTCTCCTGTGGATGGGTATTTCAGGAAGGGTTAATGTTCTATTTCCAAAAAGGTGATCACCAGACTATGATGAAGGCTTTTATGGCTGATGCCATGGGTTCTGTTTCCTGTTGTATGTGGCATCAGCAAGGACCTCTGGGTTTAACCAGTAACATGCCACCACCCTGCCCTTCTCTCCCAGCTCTTTAACTGTGTGTTGGTGATATCCTGAATAAACAAAAGGGATAAAGTTCATAGAAATTTGGTTACAAAAATTTACTGCTCCAGCCCAGCTCTTTGGATCTACCTCTGCAGACTCTGGGAGTCAGTTACCCAGACTTGGGCTGGTAGGAGAAGTGCCTCAGCTGTCTGGTTAAAGAGGAGGATCAGCCCTGTTCAATGAGATGCTGTGATTGCTTATTAAACTTTTAAAAATACACATATATACTTAGACAATAGCAAATTTTTTTTAAGTTGGAAAGTTCTTATCAGCATTAGTAACTAACAGGAAAGTGGTTGGCCTTCCTTTAGGATCGCTCTCTAAATCTGAATAAGGTGTTAGTTGGAAGACACAGTCCTCATTTGGAAGTGGATAGCATAAGTACTGTGAAGAGCCATTGTGGTTTCTGACAATCACTTTCTTTAAAAGGCAAACAAACAAACCAAATACTAAAACTATAACTTGCTTTCTCTGTAGGGCTGGGGGTACTAGAGAGGGAGCTGACCTTAGCCAGAACTCTGCAGGACAAAGTACCTTGTGGCCATACATGCTTAGGATTAAATGTGCCACAGATGAAATTAAGGAAAACCTCCTTTTTAAGCTAGATTCCTACCCCTATTTCCTTAGCTTTTCCTGTTGTTCACAGTAGTCCTACCCTACCTGGAACAGAGAAGGCAGGATATATGGCCATGTCACATTTTCACAAGTGCAATTGCTTGCATTCACTATGGGACTGCTAAGCGTACTCCCTTTGTGCCCTTGCAATGGTCTTGGCCATCTGAATGAGAATTGGCTATAGTTCAGGCTTCTCCCCCACCTCAATTTTTCAAATGAATGAATCTATAGGTAAGTGCAAGGATTCTCTTAGTCTCCAGCCAAGTAGAGCTATTCAGCTATACCATCAAGTTGAACTGCACCCAACTACTGTTAAATCCTGGAAGCAGCCTCTTTTCAATAGCTTTGGGTTGTGTGTTATCACTTGTGTTGATTTCATGTTGTTGGCTGCATGTGTGAGAAGAGAAAATTCTGATCTATCACCTAAGATCCCTAGCTCTCCGAAGTAGGCCATCCCCACTTTGTGACCATAGTGTGGGTGCTAACCTCAGGCTCCAGAGTGCAGCTTTTCCACAGTGCAGCTCTTCTGAAGCAAATCAGACCGTTGAGTTGTGCCTTATCCCAGAAATTTTAGGGGAAGCCTGATTAGGTCATCTGCCCTTTGGGAATCCAGAGGCTGAATCTAATATTAAATATCACCCAAGTAATTCTTGGGAGGGTACTTCTCCTGTCACTTTTACCCAGAATGTTAGCAGGATTTCTCTGGGACCTGAACTAGATTTTTCCTAATTAGCTTTTAGGTTTTCTCTTTTCATCAGTCTTTCAGATTGTGTCCTGTTGCCAGTATTTGTCACTTCTGTGATCACAAGTTTGTGCCAGTAAGCCACGTTTAGTATTGGGAAAAACCTAGGTGTCAGTGCAGAGCGAGGCGCTTTCTGGAGCTGCTCCCTGGGGACCAGGGCACTGTGGGCACATAGAAGGGGAAACCCAGGTTTCATATGATGGCGTCAATAAAAATCCACTAGCAGCTTGGATATTCAGGCCTGAGGCAGGAGGATTTTCAGCTTCTTCTGGGACTGAGGACAGTTGTATGTGGAGCTTGATAACAAGACAGACCCCACAGAGATCTTGTACCCTGACAACCTCCCCTTTTTTTCTGGGCCTCATCCCACCCCAACACTCAGGGTATAGTGCCCAAGCACTTACATCATTTGATTTCCTTTGCTTTCTCCCTTTCTCAGTAGTAGTGAATGAAGCTAGTCTCTTTGAATGGAGTTTCATGTTTGATTCAATTGAACGATTTTTCACAGGTGCCTTTCTTTTCATTGAAATGCCATTAGAATTGCCTGGGCCTGGGCCAAGCCTCTGGTAGAGTTCCTTTACCTCTTTTTTTTTTTTTTTTTTTTTTTGGTGACAGTTACTCTATGCTTCCCCTCTCCCCAACACAACTTAATATAAGAGGGCATAAATTAAAATATTGCCCATTGGTTTCCCTTTACTGTTCTTTACACTCTAGAACCCCATGTGCTAATGGACTCCAGGTCCAGTGGAGGCAGCTTCCCACGGGGCTGAAGAGTTCTTCCGGTGATACTCACCTCTCGCCCAGACCTCACCACCCACTGTTAGTCATCCTCGGGGAACCAGACCGAAGGTCTTTTCTCTTCTTCCTATTTCAGCCAAAATAATGAAAGATAAAAATTGTATTGGCCCCTGGCCACCTCTGAAATGCTGTTATTCTGAGAATATGCAAAAAGTTGCGTGTTCACGCAGCTGTTTCCTTCAACTAGAGGGGGGAACAAAGCAGATAACTAAGTTCACAGGTAGTCAGTAAAGGTAATGGGAATCACCTGCTTCCCATCAATGCCTGAGCACAGCCGCCAAGACAGTAGCAGCATTTTCTAAAATGACGCCTTGCCTGATGGTGCCGCAAGAAAAAGGGAGAGATGTAGCATTTTCCGGGGGGTTTTGGTCTAGATTACAAAAGTCATCCATAATCCCATCGAATGTCACTTTTTTTTTAATATTGCTTTTTTCCCCCTTTTAATAGATTTTTAATCTAGTTAAGATCGTGTTGGTTGGTATCAGTGTAACTTTCTGAAGTGTCTCAACTGTTTTTATAGCACTGCATTTTTTTTTTGAAGATTAATATGTGGTAATGTGTTATTGCATTACTCATCTATTAAACCTGCTGGTAATTTAGGTTACTAATCTCTGCGCAAGGCTCCCCGTGCTCTGCACTCGCTGCTCCCGGGTGCCGGCTCTCGCTGAGCCCGCCCCTGCGGCCCTGCGCCCGCGCCGCCAGCCGGCCCCTGGCGCCTCTGCGCGTAGGCCGCCCGCGTAGGGCGCCCGCGTAGGCTGCCCGTTTGGCAGCAGTGATTCGTGTTTCGTTTTGACTTGCGTCATTTTGTGTCTTAGTGATAGAGATTTTTCACTTTTTTCGTTTTTATCTGCATGTGTCTTACAGTGTTTATCTATTTGTTTTCTTTGTCCATTCTCCTGTTGGAAATGTTACTGTCCACTATTGACTTAGCGCTCTTCATATGTCAAAGATATAAACCCTATATTGTGAATGTTGCAATAGTTTTCCCAGTTTTTTTGTTTTTAATTTTATTTGTTACTTTCATTGTTATTTCCATAATTATTTCTCTTTGTCTTTATGTTTATATAGGCTCAAAATCAGGTAAATATCTAACTTTATGCCAGTTCTTCTATGGAATCACTTTTTTAAATACTATAAAATATCTGGAATTTATTTTGATATGTGGCACTAGGTAGGAATCTGAATTAATTTTTCCCCTTACATAATCTAATTATTTCAGCACCACTTAGTCCATAAAAACGTTGAAAGTCATCCTTCCTGAATTGATTTGAAATGTCATCTTTATCATATGCAGAATTCTTAAATACACTATGTAGGTTCTCATGTATTTCACTTTGTTTATTCTATTATTTACTGTCTTACTCTTTTGATGTTACCAGCAGATAGTGAAAGACCTATCTCCAAATTTGGGGAAAAACTACATCAAAATTCCCATAAGTTTTTGGTAAAGTCAACTTCACATTAATTTTTAAGTTTATCTGGAAGGATTAGGCCTTGTTTTATTTAACTTTCCTTTTAAAAATCCTACTACATCTTTTAACAGAATTACTAGCAAGTTACAAGCTTGACAAAGCTAAGGTTTCTTCTTTCCTTCTGTCTCAACCTCCTTTAGAGCAGGGGATATAGAAAGTGCCCATCCTAGAGATGGACAGGGTGGGAAGCAGGAGCTCTGAAGAATGCCCCAGTGAGTTGACTAACAGATGACTTGCAGTTGGTAGAGTAGATATAGTTCCTACATGGTGCTGATGTGCTTGAAACCAAACCAGGTGTGTCTTTCTAGATCTAAGAAACCATGGCTATCTGTTCAATATGTGCAGAATTCTATGCAGCATCAGTTCTTGTATTTTGACATTTTTTAATCCATCCTTTTTTTTTTTAAGATTTATTTATTTATGCATACAGAACTGGGGTACAGGCCAGAGGTGCAAGGGCAGTGGGAAGATTCACCAGAGACAGAATGGGGAACCTAACAGGCAGAGTGACGAAGTACACTGCTGAGGGGAGCAGCAGGTGAGACAGGAGAGGTCTCTTGTGCCATGTGGATCACTTAGGGGGGCCGGGGATCGAACTCTCATTGAAGCAGCTGCAGCTAGCTTGCAGTACTGTGCTTTAACCTGCTGTGCTACCAGGGAGGGCTGTACTTTGACATTTTAATTTATAGCCCCCCCCCCAACTTCTTCAGTTTCATTTATTGTACTATAGATCATTGTGGGGCATATCTCACTTAAGGAACTCTGCGAGAGATCATCAGCATGTTTCGCCACTATTGACTTTGCATTCTCTCTCCACCCCATT